CAGTTACGCATTGCTAATAATTAGAAAACAATTTATTACTAGCATCTATTTGTAATAATTTAAAAGTAGAAAAATAATAATAAAACTTGAGGTATTACGATTCTTAATAAAAATACTCGGACAATTGAAAAAGATACGGTGGTCAAAAGTTCTTGTTAAACAAATATAATAAAATAATAAATACTACGTCATAATACATTGTTATTAATAATTTTATCGATTTAGTCCATAATTATACTCAACAATTTTGTCAAATTCTGAAAAGTTGTATCCATTGCGATATGTATGATTTGCATTAATAAAAATGGTTCATTAAAATAAAATATATTAACATAATATAACAGTGGATATACCACTTGGTTGTCAGAATACTACAGCTTCAAACAAAGTCTTATTTAATATTACATCAATGATGTATTGTTGTTTTCATTATATTCCATACTTTCTACATTAATTATTATTTTGTCATGATGAGATTGGTCGATAATAGAGGTTGACGGTCACTTTTACGGCCAGGCATTAAAAGTGCGAAACGCGGACACTTACGGTCTGGTAAAAAGGTATTTGTAGAACGCGACATTTGTATTATTATGTATAATAATGTATATTATAAATACAAATTACACCCTAAAACTAGTATGAATGTAATTATTAAATAGAAAAATAAAATAAAATTGTTATAAAATATTGTGTAATAATAATAATCAATAATCATCATTCTATCATCAAACTACATTAAAATGAGTACAATAAAATATCAAAATGTCAAAAGTAGTATAATATAAAATAGTATTTAGATGTAATGGTTTTAGATTATTAGCTAATAAAAATAATAATAAAATAGTATAATATAAAATATGTCAAATGACAAAAATATAATACTGAAAAATAGAAAACTACAATGGAAAAATATTATTCAATATTTGTTAATTCTTTTCTTTGGTGCTGGTTACATAAATTAAATAGGTTATTATTGACAGCCGTACAAGATTGAAGTCTATTGCACATTCGTCTAATTGTTTTGCATATTTGACATATTTGACATATTTCTATATTATACTATTTTATTTTTGTTAGCTAATAATCTAAAAACCATTACATCTAAATACTATTTTTATATTATACTACTTTTTTGACATTTTTTTGATGTTTTTGATATTTATATTGTACACATTTTTACATGTAGTTTGATGATAGAATAATATTATTGATTATTTAGATTATTATTATACAATATTTTATAACAATTTTATTTTTAATTTTAATAATTAACACTATACATAATTATAAGTTACTTCTTAGGTGTAAAACTTATATTTATAATATATACTTTATGTATATAATAGTATAACGTGTCTGCGTTCTGCAATGTACGTTTTTGCCAGACTGTACTAAGTGTCCGCGTTTTGCATTTTAAACAATGGACAGTACAAAGTGACCGTTTATCGACAATAGAATTTACGTTCGATATAGAAAAGCGGCAATGATATTTTATTCTTTAATTTTTACACAAAAAACATTAATCGGTCATGTAATTTATACTCGATGTCGATGATAGTTTTTGTACGAACTATTCACGCTGAACAATATTAAAGATAATAAAAAATATTTATCTGTACAATTACTTTTACGTCTGAAAAAAATATAACTGGCCGGCAAGAATGTTAAGACTACCATTATTTGAGGGGTGGGAGAAAGGAGAGTATTTAATATAATTTTTGGTGGTCCTGAAAAGGACCGTTTTAATGAGATATGTCAAAGGGGTATATTTATTTCTTTTTAGGCGCAGACGGTGCCTTCTTGACGGGGGCCTTTTTCGGCTTGGTGGTCGCTTTTGGTTTTTTTGGTTTGGCTGGAGATTTCTTTGGCTTTAGTGTCTTAGGTTTTTTTGGCGTGGCGGCCTTCTTCGCTTTTTTAGCTGCAGGTTCGCCGGACGCGGGCTTCACCTTTTTCGTGGCGACGAGTTTCCTTTTGGGTGTACCTGGAGCTTTGAGTTTCTTGGCGACTGGCTTCTTCTTCTTAATCGCTGCCACCTTCTTTTTGGGTTTCGCCTCGGCGACGGACAATTTAAAGTGCCCTGACGCGCCGTTACCCTTGGTCTGGAGTACGGTACCGTTGGCAACTGCGGCTTTCAAGAATTTCCTGATGAACGGCGCCAATTTAGCGGGATCGACTTTGTAGTTGGCGGCCAAATATTTTTTGATAGCTGGCAACGACGAACCTTTCTTCTCCTTGAGCTCTTTGATGGCAGAGGTTACCATCACGGAAGTGGTCGGATGCGAAGCCACGGTTTTCTTGGCTTTGCTGGCCAACTTCTTCTTTGCCGGAGATTTCTTCGCAGCTGGTGATGCGGCAACCGGGGCCGGTGTAGTGGAGACTGTATCGGTCATGATGAAATCGAGTTGGATCGCAAAACAATGCTAGGAAAACGACGATTGAAAAACTTGTTAATGCTCGTCACCAACAGAGTGAGTTTATATATACAGTGCACCGTACCGACTAGTAAAATTTAGTGATTCGCGTCGTCGGCCTGGCTACGGTTCTACAAATATTTATCGCTATTTCTCGACGATAACTTACTTTACGATTTTGATTCTCGACTTTCCAGATAGTTAACTAAATTCCAAACAATCTACAATAACTGTTTTACCCCTGCCCGACACCACAATACCGCCACGGGCCGTTATTTCAACGCCTACAACCTGATTTTCGTACACCATGTTCAACGATCTGCCGTAAGATCAAAACCAGTCGAAAGTCAACAAATTTGATATCACCGATTTCTCTACGAGTTTCCTGATATCATCGTTTTTGCAGATTGCCAATCGCCTGATTTGCCGACGAATGGCTGCCGTTTGAAATGACGACTTTGGGTTTCTGCAGTGGCTAGGCGTCACCGACGTTCCTATCACTGTAATTTTACATAGTAGACGATCACTAAAATCAAACATAATCGTTTTAATATTTAAAAATAGTTTAACAACACATCATTTAAGGGCAGTGGTCGAAATCGATTTTGAATTATAAATAAGTTCTTATTACATCGATTGTTTGGTAGATGATACATTATGACGTGACACTTCGTGATGATTATTATTCTGTTATAACAAATAGTTATGATGAGTACTTTTATACTACTAAAGTTGGTTTTTAAGTGGATTAATATTAACTACTAATTATTCAATTAATGATTGATAAACTTTTTAAATGATAATTCGCCACACGTGTATAACTGCGCTTACGGCAAAATAGAAAACTAAAATATTGTTTACAAATAATTGTTTTCTCAATTAGTTTAAATCATATATTTATTATTATGTTTACATTGTATATTATTCGTAAAGTTGTCGATTTATTGTTTTTAAAATTTCTAATACATTTTGATTATCATAATATTAACTTTTATTTTAACTAAGATGTATTAAACTCTTTCCGTAACACAAGCAACTTAGCTGAAGATGAATAAACATGTAAGGTATTTAATATTTATTTTAAATACCGGAAGTTATGATGTCAAATTAAAATAAAAATAAAAGTATAGTATTTTGTTTATTCCCTTGATTTACCATATTTAATCGAAATAAAAAAAATGAACAAATTATTGAAATACGAACTGAAAATACAAATTTATCATGTTTGACAAATCCATCATAAAATTTGATGATTACACGGAGTGTAATTTGTGAAAACACGACAATATTAAATTTAATAAAGTATAAATGCAAAGTCAAAATCTGTATTTTTAATACCTCAATATTTACATCATGGAAAACATGTCAATACTCGCAAGAAATCACAATACCTACGAGTATGTACATACAAATTTGATAAATATATTATTACCTATTTGGTATTCTAACATAATATATTCTCTAACGTAGTGTTAAATTCAGTATGATATCCGAACAGAAATTACTTTTATTTTTTTAATAACAAAACTGTAGTGTACTCCTCATTATAGAATAGTATAATATTAAAAAATAAAATTAATAAAAATCCTATTATTTGGTTGAAACCATTGAACGCGTACACATAAAATAATCACTCTTTGTCTTGCTTCTAAAACTCATATTTTTTTTATCGTCGATTATTGACCGATCTACACTATAGGCCGCTAACACATACCTGTGTTAACAATAATTGTAATGGTTTATTCATCACCCATCTTGTAGTGATAACAATTTAAAGCAATTTTTATTACAGATACAGATCTTGATTTATAACTACTACAGGGAGATTCGAAATTGTAATAAACCCTATGAGTGTATATTTTTATTTTTTTTTTTATTGAACTTAAAAAACATCAACAACAAAGGTTATTAGTTTTGTGCAAGATTACGTCATAGTCATTACAGTATTTATATGGTGTTCATTATATATGAATACAATTTAAATTTATATTTCAATTATCTTTTACAGTAGGTCAAATTTTGTCGTATAATCGGATTTTTTGAGAAAGGTTAACATGTTCGATGTGTTTTTACTATCTAGTCCCAGAGCTTCATATAAGTTGAGTGGGATGTTGTATTTTTTTAGATCTTCGGCGTATTGATAACACTCTGTTATTATAATATGCTTCACTGTTAATGTAACCCCACAGACTATACATTGGGCGGGTTCTTTTTTGGCCATGAGGTGTTAATGGATCAGCCTTGTGTGACCTATTTTATGAGTGTATAATATTATTTACTATTTACAGAATAACAAAAAAACATTAACAACGACAACTTTATTCTATTCGGATGACGACTGAAATATTAGAGAGCACTAAACGACGTGGACACACACTCGTTACACAAATATTGCACGAAATACTACGAATCAGATTATTAAAAAAACATGGCGTCCTCACCGAACGGTGCTGGAGACCGTACGGCATCGGACGTTATATGATATTTTGGTGGCCCTGAAAAGGGCCTTTTTAAAGTTGTTCAATTTGCGATATGTCACAAGATTAGCGTAGACGAACTTAACCTCCAAAACCGTACAGAGTACGGCCTTGACGTTTGAGAGCGTAGACTACGTCCATGGCGGTGACGGTCTTCCTCTTGGCGTGCTCGGTGTATGTGACGGCGTCACGGATCACGTTCTCCAAGAATACTTTCAGCACACCACGGGTTTCTTCGTAGATCAAGCCGGAGATACGTTTCACACCACCACGGCGAGCTAACCGACGAATGGCGGGCTTGGTTATTCCCTGGATGTTGTCACGCAATACTTTACGATGACGTTTGGCGCCTCCTTTGCCAAGACCTTTTCCTCCTTTACCGCGTCCGGTCATGTTGAATTTTTGTAGTTTCGCGTAGAGAGACTTGAACCTTCGAGAGCTGAATGTTAACTGATGCCACAGACGACGAGAACAGTTATATTTATACGTTATACCGTGCACTCCCGACCAATCGAAATGCGCGGTCGGATTTCTCCCACCTTTATACTCATTACAGCGTATCGACCAATGAGACGAACGGATTTGATCCCGTAACGTGTATAAATATCGGAGAATTTTTAATCGTGGTACCATACAGTTTTATCAGTTTTCGACACTCTGTAAGCAGAAAATACGTAACCGTACCAAGCAAACAGCACGTAAATCGACCGGAGGCAAGGCTCCCAGAAAACAATTGGCCACCAAGCCGCACGTAAGCGCACCCGCTACCGGAGGAGTGAAGAAACCCCATCGTTATCGTCCGGGAACCGTCTCTCCGTGAATCCGTCGTTACCAGAAGAGCACGGGCCAGTCCCGCAAACTGCCGTTCAACGTCTGGTCGTGAAATCGCCAAGACTTCAAGACCGATTTGCGTTTCCAAGAGCTCCACGCCGTCGCAAGCCTGCGGAAGCCCAGTGGAAACTGTTGGTCGGTCTGTTCGAGACACCAACGTACGCTATCCACGCCAAGCGTGTGACTATCATGCCGAAAGACATCCAATTGGCTCGTCGTATCGTGGAGAACGTGCTTAATTTCTCTCTCTTTCCTACTTTTAAAACGGCCCTTTTCAGGGCCACTACTTTATTATTTAATACCTACAAGTCTCCCATATTTTACAGTTTGACCTTTAAACTCTCACTAATTCATTCTATAACACGTGCCCCTCACAGTGTGAACCGAATAACGCACGGTTGTTATTATTTTATAAATTAAACTTCAAACCAAAATGTAGTTTCTTATGGACTCTAATCTGTACAAACACGTACCTTCATCACCAGTGAATTTCTGTTTTAATGGTTTCGATTAATTTATTTCCCAATAGTTATAATTGACTCATGTCCGCCGCCGCAGTACATGGCGACTCGGTTCCACTTATTTCTAGAGATGTTAAGTACGGTATTTCATTTTTATAATACTGTTTACGACCTGTAGTACCTTAAATATCGAATTTAAAACCATTGTTAATTGTGAAATAAATCATTTTAAAATCAATTAATTGTATAAAATGGCTTAAAGGTCAGAAAACATCAATGATACAACAATAATTATTAGACAAATTAATATTTAGCGCTACCAATTATTATGTACCATGTACATAGGTATACCTTAATCATATACTAAGATAAATTATTTAGGGTAAAATATTTTAATTACAATCCATATTTGCTAATAATAAATTGCTCATCATTAAATATCAAATAAAGTTTTAAAAACTTTCAGGCA